TAAATAACAAGTATTAATGACTTATTTATTAACATATTAATAGTTGGCCTGAGAGTAATAAATGCAAATTAGTGTAAAGTGGTACCAAAAATTGTGTCGATAATAGGCCCTGAAGTAATCTTGTGTGTTCAAGATAATTACAAATATATTTTCCTTTCAAAAGTCTACTGCCGGGTAATTTTTTATGGTTTGCTATAATATCATTTTAAAATTAGAAAATTAGCCCTAGTCTCATTAAAATAATTTTGCAGTGCATCAGGCTTTATTTCAAGTGCAAGTTTCACATTATCTTCCTGGCTACAGACCTGGTATTTTTTTTCAGAAATTCTCCTTATGTGCCACCATTTTAGGCCTATGCTTGGTATACTAACTGTGTTGGTTTAGCTTACTACTTGCACAACTTTTACTCATCGTTAGCATTATTATGTAAAAAGTACCTCTGCAAGTAGGGGTGGTACCTGGAGGGCTAAATCCAGTAAAAATCTCTAAAAGCTAGATTTTTTCCTTTTTATTCCTGCTAATAGCAATTCACCACACAAAGAGTTCAGAGGTTTTAAACATGAGCAAGGTGATGCACTGGTCTCTGCACACTTAACAACCAATCCAGACAGAATAGATCCCCCTCAGAAGACCATTCCTGCTCAGCTGTTTTACTAGAAATATTTTTTTTTAAAAACACTCTTATTTGTTTAGACAAAAAGAAAATCCCACTTCATGCCTTGTCTCTGAACTGTTACTTAACTTTGGAAAACCGATTACTTAGTGAGGACAGCAAGACATTGTCAGTTTATCACTCCTACAAAAAAGAAAAAGGCTTGCTAAAATGCAGATTCCTAACCACGTCACTGATCTGCTATCAATGGCAAGTTAATGTATTCCTGTCTGCCACTGGTCCTGATTTTATCAATTCTACAATTTGGCACACATTTAACATGTGACCATCTCTAATAAAAGATCAGTAAATATTCAGCTCTGCCTCCATAGGTTGAGGAATGGAGGTCCAGGCTCCCTCCTAGCAGAGGTGCACAGAACACTGTTTCTGCAAATGTCTGTTTCCATAAACATTTCTGTCTGCCTTTGTAGGTGGCACTTTTACTTCTTTGCAGCTTTCCTCATTAAAGGCATTGTAAATGACTTCTTTGAAAAAAATCACGTCCATTTCTGTATGGTACAGGGCTTTGGTGGCCCTCTCCCCACAGTGCCTTCCAAACCACTACGTAAATGTGATTGTGGCCATGTAATCTGTGTACCTGGAAATAGAATTCGTTTTGTTGCTAATGAAGGTCCTACGGCACAAATTTATTAACAGTATACTTTTCCATGGGATAATAATTGGGTCGATAATATTAAACTCATAGGCTCATTATTTAATTGCAAGGGCAGATTATGAATACAGCTTCTAAAATGTATTTTAATGAAAAACACTACATCCTGACCTAATCATATCAACCTTATGCTATCTAATTAAGGATGCAAAAAATCATTAGAGTTGCAAAATATTAGTTCCAGCTCCATCAGGCTGTTAGCTGCCCCTTCATGAATATATATTTTTTTTTACTCTATGATAAATAGTTAATGAGGTAAAAATGACAAAATTTGCATGTAGGCAAATTAGTTTAATAGACTGATGTCTTCCTGGTCTACAGAAAGTGACCTTTTTCCTATCAAAAGAATGACTAAAAATACCTTGAAATGATGGCATGGATGTCATTCCACAAATGACAAATCACTTCTCTGAACAATATAAAAATTATAAAATGCAATAACCTTAAATTCTCATCATATTGTAAATGTGTCCTCTGCTGCTGCATTTATCAATTTAATAAAAGGAAATTAAGCATATTATAAAATACCCATTTATGGGGCAATTTTTAATCCAGGGAATAAAAATGGGAAGCATGTGGTTAATAGCAAGAAAATATTGCAAAAACGTAGACCTATTTTTTTCCAGAAGGTTTGACTGACTATTTACTTGAATGACCTCCATTTAAAATATATTCTTTATATGGAGTGATGTAAGATATGGCAGTCTCATGCTTCCCTTTATAAAAATTTTTCACAGTTAATTTCGTATCTTATTTAAAAATTAGCACATTAATAATGCACGCAATAAGGGCTAGTGATGTGTCTTCCATACTGATTACCTTGTACAATTAGACATACAAAAAGAGAGGGACAAGACAAATACCTTATGCAAATCTATGGCTGGAAAAAAAGGGTCTTTCAGTATCTGCAATGCCTAGGAGCATAAAAGACCTGTACATATACTTCCCAGTCTTGCAGGGAGATGTTCCATATGGAGAACACATTTCTACAATGGAGAAAGTCTTTATTACAAAACTAGATTTACTAAAGAGCTACCAAACTTCGTTTGATGATTCTCTTTTCCATCAAAATAATATAAACAACAACAACAACCAAAAAAAAGAGCAGAAGGGGAAGATTTCAGGTTTCTGAAGAACATTGATTCTTTTTTCACAGTATTTGTGTTTCGTACAGATAACTCTGGAGTTTTGGACCACAGTCTCCTCTAGCAAATTTCCCCTATTTGTGAGGCAGATCCTGTGCCACTGAAGTAGATGGTAGAGATCCTGCTGATATAAGTGATGCAAATTTCTGCACTCTTTCCACATTGTTCATACCTTCTTTTATTATATAGACTGCACCAATATGTCCCATAGAGAACAGGAATGTTTAACGTTGCCCCAGCCTGGCATTTGATTAGGATTGATATAAAAGAAAGGACAAGAAATCCATGCAGATGTAGACAGAATAGAATGAGAAACTTAGGGATTCAGTAAAGACAAAATTGTGCTTGACTTTGCTTTGTTGAATGAAATGTGCACTGCTGCCTACACAGCACTGGGATTCTTCCCTCAGCTCTGACTGCACCCTCCTTGCTGCTGGATTCAGCTGAGACTTGGTCCATTTTAAAGGATCTCAGACTAAGGTCAGGTAGACACATTTCAGTGTGGCATTTCATGCATGCCAGGCTGCATACTGGGAGCAAAACTAGGCACTTACATGCGTCTATAGATGTGGGTCAAGTTTTTCAGTGTTTTGGCCCTTGAAGTACGTGTTACTGTAGCAGTGGACAGTCTGTATTTCCTTCATTCAGAGACACACTATTTGTATACAGAACAGAAATTTTTCTTTCCATTCTTTTATGTACGTCTTTATCCTCAACCTCTCCTTCCCACCTGCCCTTCTTTTTTTCTTTTTCCTTTTTTTTCTCTTATTCAGCCCTTTCAGCACTGTCGCAAGAAATGATGCACTGGTAATAACATTAGAAATTTATTCAGTACTCAAAACAGAAATACAGTTGTTTGCAGTTGCCTTATCTGCCCCTTTTTCCATATGGCATCAGTAGTTCAAATGCTTCTTGAACTCTGTCAGGCTTGGTGCTGTTAGCACTTCTCTGGGAAGCCTGTTCCAGTGCCCAACCACCCTCTGGGTGATGAACCTTTTTCTAATATCTTACCTAAACCTCCTCCTGACATGTAAAATGAGGTCTACCATATATATTCTTTGTTTAACCTTGTAACAAAGGTAATCGAAACCAATCATCAGTGGTCATGCTTTGACTTACTGTAGAAAGATTTCAAGTGCAAAAAAAAAAAAAAGTGTTATTTTACTTACTGGGATAAATAAAATAAGTTCTAGCTGCATAAAAAGTGGGAATGGCGGAGGCAGGTGGCTGTGGAAACACATTCACTCCTTCCAACTTTTTCCCTCCCCTCTGTTGAAACACCATGTTCTGCTCTGCATTTTTCCACAAAAATTAAGTTTACTGACTATCTGCTTTTTCATTCAGTTTTTCCTTTCAGGGTACAAACTGTCATCATGAAAAAAAAAGTGGAAAATAATTACAGCCGTGGCAGATGTTTATAATAGTGACAACTGAGGCTATATATTTATAAAATGCTGATCTTTCAGAGCTAGCTATAGAGACTTGAAAAACCTGCAGACCCTTATCTGAAGTCCTTGTCCCAGTGGGTTAGAAAAGAAAAACAAAACAACTCATACGTACTTAAGAGGACTAATTTCCTTCCTATATGGAATCTGTTCATTTTTACATTGAAGCAGGAGAGTTACCAAACAAAGCATTTTATTCAGAGGTATTCATAAATGTATAAATCAAATTGATGAGCACTTTAACAATTGACCAAAAGCTGGTTTATAGAATAGTCCCATGGGAATTAATAACACTGATGCAAAGCTAGAAAGCAAGGAAGAAGAAGTCCCTCACAGAAGGAAGACAGTGTGCCTCACAGACTGCTGACCACGTTATTTCTTCTATTTTCAATCCTCTGAAAGCAATTATGCTCAGAAGCCTCATCTGTGGATGGCACCACCACCACTGGACACTTTGTAAACACAAATTAATCTCCTATACATCACAGCCTTAGGTCTGTATTTGAGACTAGACACTAGTGGGTCAATGGAAAAGAAAGAGTTATTTTTGATAACCAAAGTAGCGCACCTTCCCCTGCACATTTCCAATTTACCCTACTCCTCTGGGTAATCCTGAAAGGAAAGGGCCAGAAAGCAGAGCATAGCTATCATTTCTGACTGACCAAACTCACACCCCCTTCTCAGGGCAGCCCCACCTATGCCCTTTTAAAGAGTGAATTCTACTTGTTCATGGAATTCCTCAGTTTGCTGAGCTGGCAGAGAAATTATCTGGGATGATACTGACATTTAAACAAGTAGTAGGTCTCTATGACCCAGTCAAGAACTAGTAGATGGCACAGATCATTTTTAACACCAGTGATGCCTCTGAGCCTTTGGTTACTAAGCAGATTGTAACCCCTTATGATGTTCAGGCAATGCACATGCAACATCACAAAATTCTCCTGAACATACTTCTTAATTTCTCCCTTCGATGAAGCATCCTAAGAATAATTTCTAATACCTATGTCCTCTTCGGTAACACCCAGAAATACAAAGCATTAATTTGGATCACAGATTCCTTTTTCCACACTTTGTTCACCACTTACCATCCGTCTTTCACCATTGATTCCTCTCCACTGCTCAGCCCTCTTCATAATGTAGTTCAGCTCCTGACTGGAAATCTCTAAGTCCAGTGGAATAAAGAATGCGCCTTCCTCACCATGAATACGTCGAAATACATCCAACAGCCAACCTTCGCTATGTAACCTAAGGATAGAAATGACACAGTGGGTTCATTTTTGAAAGGACTCTTCACACACACAAAAAAGAAGAAGGTATCCTACAAAAGTTATCCTTTTGTAGACTTCTAAATCTTGATTTCACCTTCATGACTATGCTCTTGACTCACGAGTAAGAAGCTTCTTTCCAACAAGTTCTCCGACATACAGCCCTCCCCAGCCCTCTGTAGGATTTACGGTACCCAAATCAAATCACATCAATGTAGCAGCAATTTATTTTAATTATTTAAAAATATTGACTTCCCAAAAAGATCCTGATCTAACTTTCCTTCAGAATGTCTAATGTCTGTCCTTAGCATTGGGCTTGGTAACTATTCCAGTACCATAGTTAGGCATAAATGGAAGTCCTGCTGTGCCAGGGTTCAATAATGGGCAAACCATGTCATATGGAAAGAAACAACTCACCATTATTTTCAAACCCAAGCCTGGAGTCTACACAATCTAAACTTTGCTTGAAGTTAGAAAAGTTCATTTCATTTGCTGGCTTTGTTTTTCTTTGACATTTCTGTGCTGTGGTAAGGAATTGACTAAGCACTACACAGTAAAACTTTCTACCACAAGAAAGGCTTGCTGTGTGGTATTTCCTAATGTAGGTGAAACCAAGAAATATTGTGAGGCTTTTGGAAAAGTCTGGTGTCACATTTTTAGCCTAAGATAAACTTAAAAACTTCAAAAAATTGCTGTTGGATTCAAATCAAACCTCTTCAATTCATTGTTTTTTCATTCTACTTTTATTCCAAAACAGGGGTTCAGAAAATAAAGATCAAGAAATATGGAATCTCAGTTTTGGATATTAGATGGAATCTTTCCTTTCGTACCCTCTTCCAAACTAATATTTTACTACAATTCAGCCGTTGCTTGGTGCTAATTTCAACCTCTTTGTCCTCAGAGACTGGCTGGGTAATCATGTGAAGTGCATGGATTGCTGTTTGGCTCTACAACCAACAAAATGCCTGGACTTCAGTGGGGCTGTACAGGTCCTTCATTTCTTGGCAGGTTGGAGACATAGCACAGGCATGACTCCTTTGACCTTCTGTACTCTCATCCTTCTCGCGTATAGCAGCACTTGTGCCAGTTCTTGTGATTGGTCCTTATCCTTGGGTCTTGTATTGGCCTGTATGTGCTGAACAATGTGTCCAGATGGGAGAGGCAGAGGGTTGTTCAAATAAATCAGAATGAACTTCACATTTACACCAGTTCTACATCACGCTTTACAGTGCTCACAGTAAGTGTAGAGAAACACACTCAATAATCTGCTCAGTACACTTTTGCCCACAACTGAGATTTGGTGTGGAACAGAAATAAGGAGATGCACCAAGAGACATTTTTTCATCTTGATCTCATGAGGAGCTTTAGCACTCTCTTCAAAGGGGAATGTGTACCTTAGGGTCAAACTCTATATCCAAGAGTTTCTGTGAGAGTGTAGCTATTCTGATACCAAAATCTGGCAGCCTGGCTCAACGTCAGATTAGGAATTTATATCTCATGCTTTGATGGAAAGGTGTTCTCTGTACTTTTTTCCCCACCTTTCTTTTATTTGAAACATTCTTTTTTGCAGCCCTACATTTGCTGTAGCTTCCAAGATGTCATTTTGGGATTCTCTTATAAAGGGGAGAGCAGCTGGAAGAAAACCTAATCAAGAGGTAGATAGTCCTGGGAATATAAACAAACTGGCTACAAGAAATAATAGAAAATGCTTTAAAGTGTGAAATGCAAATCAGTGCTAAGGCAAAGCAGGATACTAGAGTAACTTAAACCACGCTAAAGTAGAAATTATGTTTTATAAATAACTAATATCCTTCACAGAGTAATTTAGCAAATTCCATGGTGTCTTCAAAGAAAAGTTTTTCTCTTAATCTCTGGATCTACATCAGATGATCTTTTCATACAATAGATACATTTTTGCAAGAATTGACTAGTGATTTAGAATTATCTGGTACTTAGTTAAAAAACTAGCAGTCAAACTGGTGGGCTTTCTGACATTCTGCTCATGTTGAAGCAATATTATTCCATGGTGTTCGTATTTGAAATTCCAGGTCAGCAAGTTAAATGACTCGTCTCTTATCTTGCTAAACAAGAGAAAGACCTTGCCATTTATTTAAGCTCACTTAATGTAACATTCTTATTTCAAATTCAGTAAAATTTAATGCAGTTAAATTACTGTCTATTTGCTGCCATAAACATTTTCTATATGAAGACTTTAAGCACATGGTTATAAACAATATAATTAACTTTGAATTAATTAAGAATCATGAAGGCTGTCTTCTAAATTATTTCTTTTTGTTCAAAGGACTCAGCCTGCTCCTGTTACCTGCTTTAATTTCTTTTCTTCAACATGAAAATTATAAAACACCTATTGTACCTTAACGTGGGTTGTTATAAATATAAAATAGTTATTTCTATTGTTAATACAATAAAAAAACAAAACTCAAATTACGGTTTATAGACATATGAGAATTGGTATAATACTCTACAAGTTCATTTATTTATCTCTCAGAAAGAACAGAAAACCTTGAAATGATTTGCTATCCAGAGTCAGCCAAAAAAACGGGCTTCTCAAAGAATTACACAAACAAAAAATTGAAGGGTAATTTTAGTGGTTTAAAATAATTTATTACATCTTCACTTGAGCCTTTCTCATCCTTTTTTGGAAAACCACTGTTAAAAAATACAAAAACAGTTTTGCTGTTAACACTGAAAAATGTAGATTTTTGAAGCTTTTCCCTGAATAATGTTTCAATACCAGGAAATTCAGACACTTTCAGCAGACACTTTTAGTTGAGAGGGGTCTGCATTTTCTCACAGTGCAGAAAACATTTCACCAACAAATTCCTGTCTGTTTCTAATGTCTAGAGGAATTAAATTGAAGGAATTGCAACCAATGCCACTTCATTTTTCCAAAAAGTAATTAGAATATCTCTCCATGCTAGATGTACTACAGACTCCCAAGACACCCAAGGGGAGCCAGACTTTTTGAGGTATTTTGGTTTATAAAGATGCAAATAGATGCCTACTGCTGCTTATCCCCTGCCCATGATTTCATTAGCTTCCTGCTTGTTCATCAGTGCTGCCATGAAGCTTTTTAGCTGTGGCAGAAACAGACACATCCCCTGCTTTCTTTGGTGGTCTTGTGGGTTCAGTGTTCTTATCCCTTTTTTTTTACACACTGTCAAACACTTCAGTTTAATGGCAAACTGCTGAGTAATTCTAAAAAATGGCACCAACTCCTCCATTAACAGCCAAAGTTGGATCCAATCTCTGTGGATTGGGGTCTAAAGGCAGAAGATATCCCTCAATATTCATATTGGTTTAGTTTACAAGCAAAAAGTAAGGTGGATGTCTGTTTAAAAACATGTTTTCTGAGCTGAGCAACATTACATTTGAATATATTTTAGATATAACATCTGAGAAACACTCACACAAAGGGATGCTACTGCCTTAGTTATAGCACTATTTTCTCTTGAAAACAAGTGCTATTATATCAATATTCAGGAAACGGTATTATGAATTACAGAGATATTTTGCTTAAAAACATTTTAAAAAGTTTTAATGCTATCATTGTTGGACTGACAGTGTGCTACTCAAGAGTCCTAGCTATGTCCAAGGTTCCCACTGTGTTGGGCTGTAGACACACAAGGAAGAGAAAGTTGATCCAATTGCAGAAGATCATAGTATAATTTTACTCTGTAAAACAGACTCCAGTATTCAAAATGTCTCCTTTTGTTATCAAGCAAAGAACTTCAAAGACCTTATGCACTGTAAAACATTTTGTTATTTTCCCTTTGCTTTTGTATTTTGCAATGAATCATTTTTGAAACGTGTTGTGCTAAGACAACTTTTTTTTCCCTTAGTAACATTATTCCCCCACCCCTTTATTGGAACACATTATAGGAAAATTGATCCAGAAGGAAAGGTACTTTTGATGATCTTGCACCTGTTCCCCAGACAATGAAGATGTTGGTAATATTCTCATAAAAACCTGTCTTACAAATGTTTTAATTTAAATTAATTTTTCTGAGTAATAAGCGACAGCAGCTAAAACTTATGAAGCTATTCAAAACTATTAAGTCAATGATTAAGAAGGCATTAACATCCCAAAAACTAATTAACTAGACTACCAGTACATTGGAGTTGTGTACGGCTTCCAGGAATGCAGAAGCTTTGAAATACTTTGCAGAAATTTAGATGGCCATTTATCTTTTCCTGACTGCTGCAGAATCTGCAGAATCTGTGAGAGGGTGACTGAGGGATGATTCTGTCATAAGGAGGGCGTATGCTGGGCTTTTCTATTCTTACGTCCGCCTGCAGCTTCCCTTTGCATATGGCTTTTTATTGGTGCTTGCCAACATTCATCACTGGATGAATAGAGGGCCAGTACAAAATTCATACTACATTATAGATGAGCCACTCAGAAAAAAAACCCCAACATTTTTTCATTCAATATATTAGACATCCTATCTAATTAATTTTCAGCATCCCACACCTGTCCCTATTGACTGCACAGTTAATTTGTGTCTACTAGGAAGGTGGAAAGAAAGGTAGTTGGTCAAATTTCATGATGAACTGAATATTGAAAACGTGTTGAATTCATGGAAAAATTATTTGGATTAAGTCATGTCATCATGACTCAGTCACATCAAGTGAAAAATACTGTATCATCAAAAGGCTGTAAGGCTCTGAGAGCCACTACAAACTCAGAGGTTTTTGCACTTCATATCATACATAGCTTTCTGAAATTTTTCCTATTTCTCACAAAACCCCTGCTTATAAGACACAACATCTTCTAAAATACCTATATAAAAGGTACACACACTTTGCAACTTAAGCCCTTGACACAGACACCATTGCCTGAAGCCAGACAAGCAGAGGCTCCTAGACTCTATGAAAAACCATGATACCAGCTGTGCTCCTGGTGAGGAAGTAAGTGGCTCCATCTCTGACTTGCAGTGCCCAGCAAATCCCAGTGCATTAAAAGTTAAGCAGAAGCTAACCCCTCCTTGATAATCTGCAGTTCTGGGCTCTGGATGTGTGACACTGATAAGTCTTTTCCGATGTCACCTTATTTTATCTAACAGGAGAAGGGGCATGAGCCTAAGCTCCTAAGGGAATAATAAGATAAAGAGGCATACCTTAAAAAATACAGGTACAATACTGTCGACGAGATCATGAACAGGACTGTATAAAGCATCACAGTGATTAAAGCACCAGGAACCCCTGACTCCTCAGCTCTTAGAAAGACCCAGGAGAGTTTTGCAGCATCAGCAATTGGTTTGTCTACACTGTTCCCAAATCGCTGTCATGGAGAAAAAAATCAATGTAAGAAAATATCGAACCTGATTAGACCATAGAGGCAAAAGAACCTGAATTTATTTACAAGAAGAATTTAAGTGTAATTTGCAAGGAACACAGTCTGAAACTTAGGATTCTGCTATACAGAATTTGAAATTAACCATAAGATGTGAAATAAACTATTTTCTGGTGGATTTTAGTACAATTAAAATCTACCCTATAGAGATGACTTATTGAACAAAACCCGTGTAACAGTGAAAATACTCAAAGTGAACTCTACTAATGTATGTCAGGAAAAGTGGAAAGGGAAGAAGGCTGAAATTTGCCTTATTTCTATGACCAAGTAGGCATAATATTGAATGATTTGTATTCTTCTCCAGAAATCTATTATTTTCCTTTTTTTCTCTCCCCCCCCCCCCATATCTAGTTCTTAAGAACTAGCTTCTGTATTGACATATTGTTGCCCTCTGCTGGATCAATTTAGAAGAATTTAAATACATATCATGGATCTTCTACTGCTCAGAGCTAAAATAAATTTCTCTCTTCACTTTTTCCTTTTTAAAGTGACACAGTGACAGCTATACCCATATTAGATCATGTTGACACATTTTGCAAGGATGTGAAACTGAACCACCAAAACATCCAGTGTTCATCATTCAGAGAGTCTGTGACCTTTAGGCTTCAAGAAACCTGCACCTTTCTGAGCAACTTGGCCAAATTAATCCTTAGGAAATGTCAAAACTTTCTTCCCATTTTTGGCTACCTCCTATGCATGCAGTGACATGCACGGTAAAGGAACAACAACTACAAGTCCAATGACGAGCTATAAAAGGACTGAGATTCCTGAGGACATTTCTGTTCTCTCTTCATCTTTTGCAACACTACTAGGTTTCTATAATGGAAATTAAAGGTCCCAGGACACCAGTCATGACATATAAAGACTAGTCACTAATTCAGAACTGTCCATATTGGTAACAAAAATATTAAAATACTCTGGTTCTGTTCTATCTCTCAGTTATATCTTCTATTCTGGGAGAAAAAAAAAAACAAACAAAGCCCAAACCCAAAAACCACAAGAAACTGTCTACCAAGAAAAATCCTCTGCACAGCAGTCACGTCCTGACATTCCTTCAGAGAGGCAAAAGTCTGAATGGCAAATAAGAATAAATTTCTTTCTTATCTAAGCAGTTCTATCTGGCAAGGCAAAGATGGCATGGGAGAACTGCACTTTTCTATCCTTTTTTTCTAACAAAGATATTCTGTCAATCTATATACCTTCTGTGATCCTCAAAGACATGATCCAAGAAAGGTGTCTTTAATTCAAATTACTTAAATAACATTTGTCAATGTCTCTCTCAAGTACTTATCATATCACTGAGGGATGGTCACGTAAGCCTTTTGCAATGTCTACTGGTTTTTACGATGACACATATCCATGTGGCCAAAGAGGTGTTACTGTCTGCTTTTGAGAAGCTATAGACAAATGAAGTGAGTGGGGTCCCAGGAAAGCTCTGGCAGAACTGGAACTTGAACTGCATAAGAGTTTCTTATCCCTGGAACATCCTTTTACAAGCTGACAATAAATCAAACCTGAAATCACACATTTGACACAGTATTTTGGACTATTACTTGACACCCATCCCCCCCACCAATGCAACTGCCCTCTAGCCTTTCCTTGGCAATAAAAAAACATTACTTAGTAAACACAAAAACTTTTGTCTCCAGGGCTATCTGTCATCTTTCATAAGTATTAAGGTCATTTAGGATACTAAAATACATTCTAGCACTAAAATAACTCATATTACCATAACATAATATTTTAAAAAGGTTTGATCTAAAATAGATTGGCAAGTAAATCTGAAATAGCTGCTGAAAGAATGCCAGGAGAAAAAAAATTACAAATGCAATAATGAAAACACATGTAAGAGATATAGTTTCATTTTGGAAAGGATACACACAGTATATTGTGTAATATTTGGACAAATGAGTTCCTACCAAAGACAATCTTGGTGGTAAGACTGCCAAGTTTTCAGTATGAAGTACAGAGAGGTGTGTATTTTTTTAACATTGTAATGAAAAAAGAAGTTACTTTATTTGTATCTCGTGTTTCCTCCTGACCAAGTGCTATTTGAAATTAGTAATGATCCTGTTTGTGTAGAACTAAGCACAATTCCACTGAAGTCAATGGCAACAATTTTCTCAATGCAAGTGTGGGAAAGATAAGGCAGACCTCAGCCTTTCTTCCAGTGTTTATGAATACATCAGCATTAGAATGGAGAAAAAAGCCTTTTAAGCATTTCAATATTTCTAGCCCGGTTATTGCAGGAATACCTCTTTTTCTCTTAGGAAAAATGTATCTCAATAAGAATAATTACAATTAAAATTCAATTCTGTGCATGTTTTATATCACAAAATTTAAAAATAAATAAATAAATACAGGCTGTCCAAATGAAAAGTGTTGTCACATGCTCAAACTATTGCAATTACCTCTCAAGTGAGCTCCAATTAAATTTATTGAAGAGCTGAATTTTAATTTTCAAAACCATTGCAATGTAAAGAGTAAAAAGCACCTGCAGAGCACAGGTTAGCAGATGAGGAACCAAGAGATTTGAGAAAACCTGATCCCCAGCAAGGCCTGTGGATTACTGCTTGATCTGGAGTGAGCAACAGAAACATAGATGACTTTGAAAGACCAACAAGGGCAGAAGACGAGCAATGCCACACCCCCAGAAAAGCTCTCAGAATCCCACACCCATCAAAAGGACCCTGTATCACATACACAGTGAAATCCAAATTTGAACTGCATCTTCTGGGAGACTAGGCATTTACCTTGGACGTGATAAAAGTTGGCAGTCGCCAAAGTATTGTTGGGCTACACAGCACATACATAGAGTTGAGAGCTTTGCTCTACTGATTTTATATATGACGAAGCTCTCTTCTTAAAGATGTTTATCTTTCAATCTCACAAGTCTTTTTAGGAGTGCCAGCAAATTATATTAACTATATTGCATGTCAGAGAAGTGCATGATAACCTTCATTTTTTTCATTTTGTCTGTTTCAGTGCTTAGAAAAATCTGAAGTGTTAATAATCAGGATTGCTCATTAACCCATCTCCATTAACATCTAAAATTGCAGCAATCCTTTTCAAAGCAGACGCAATCACTTCAGCAGTGGATTTACTTTTTTATCTCCGTATATGGCTTATACAGTGCTCTTAGTTTTACGTAGAAACACACTGACTCCATTAGATGGGAATTTTGTTAATAAGAAGGTAATGTATAACATTATTATTTAATTTCTTTTTAACTTTCATGTTCCATTGCCAGGGGTGGAATTTCATATCTTTCAGTGATTCATTGAATAAAACAAACTTCTACATCAAATTCTCATGTTCAAGTTATTTTAAGTGACTCACCCCCAGGAATGAATCCACTACTAACACTGCCAAGGGGTCTAGCACTGTCCATAGTCCCATAGCTATGATAAACTTTGACAAGAAGGAAGGGAATGAGTCAAACAGCTGCTGACAGCCCCATCTGATCAGGACCATAAGAAGCAGCCCTGCATTCAAGGTTAGGGGTCCCACCACAACCATGACCAACTCTTCACTGGTGTGCAGCAATGAGTTCTGGTAACACAGTTCAACAGTGTGAGGAAAGAGCTGGAATCTGTAAAAAAGCAAAAGGAGAGTGTTTGTCTGTGCTCCTAAGCAGACCATTAAAAAAAAAGTAGAATCATGCATGTTGCATTGTAAAGTTGCATCCCTATCTGCGTCACAACCCTCTGACCAAAAACTGTATGAAGCTACTCAAAAAAAAAAGAAACTTTCTCCTCCTGCCTCTGTATCCTTTGACCCCCTCTGACTCTCAGTTCACTAGGTGCACCTCCAGGCCCTTGGGACTGTGCAGGAAAGGCTATACAAAGATGCTACCTCCCAGAAGCACCATCATGAGCACAGGCCCCAGAAGCTTACCTGTATCTGCATACTGCAGCACCTGTGGGCATTGCATGAAGTAGAAAATCTGATATGGAAGACATAGCTTTTAGCATGCCTAAAGTGGTTGGAAATGTTCCTCTTACCACCATGAGATCACGAGATTTGCAAAGCTCATACAATGAGAAATTTGCTGGCACTGTAAGAGACATGAACTGCATGGCCATGTGAGCTACATACACAAGCTGTAATTTAAGGCAAAAATTTCAATCCAGTTGAAGTGGCTTAAATTCTGTTCCTAGCTAAACGTAAAGTGGTTTGATTCTCACTTTGGTTCTGACTTGTGAGTGTTACCACTATATTTGTTAGGAGCAGAGAGTGCTCAGCTCAGTCTTATGTTGTTCAGGCACACAGCTACAGACTGGGATGCTGATCCAGGGCATTTTGGCTTGAGAACATTATCCATTATCTAGCTGACTGCCTGGGACAGCTGTGACTAGTGGCTTTGAACATGACCACCACTCTCTCATGCATTGATTCCTTCTGTTGAGTTTCCTTTGTTTTCACAGATTCTCGATGCTTGGCCTCCCAGAAGTTTTAACACCAGCTGGCTGAGCACACATGGGATGTGCAAGGACAGAAGTGAGAGATGGTTGGCTTTGCATTATGATCTAGAAGACCACCTTAACAATACCCAGCACTGTCCAGAGTCCACTCGGTACAAATTTTATCCAATAATCAATCCCACTATCACAGCAGATATAGGTCGGATGTACACTACTGGTTCCTACTGACTGATTCAGGTTTGTGCGATGCCTTAAAGTGAACAAATAAAAAAAAGTTTCTGTTGGAGAAATTGTCCCTTTCCTAAGCGCGATTAAAGTTTCTTATTCTGTAAACCCATTCTCTACCCCACAGCAATATGTAGAGAATCAGGTATATATCACTAGTGGACTTGTTTTCCACCTTTTTTTCATGTAAGTAGTGACAAGCAATGATTTTCCTGCAACTCTCTAGGGAGCTCTAATTCCTGAGCTAAAGTCTACGTATCATAGAGTTAAAATATGCCAACCCATTGTAGTACTCACAGTAAAACTGATATATCAAAGTTAAATTCTTAGAAGTATTTTACTCATAGATCACTTCAGTAATATGAAATATGGTTTGAATGCTTCTTCAGTTTTGTGCACTTCTTAGGCATTTTGAAATACGTTATCCAAAATGATAAATGATTCTTCTGGAAGATACATCACCTGCTAGGTATCTCAGAAAGAAGAGAGGTAGGCATTGACACAAGACACACAGATGGACACATTGTGTTCTGGGTTTAAAGTTTACATTACTAACAGCTCTACCTGATATGTAAATGTGACCTCCTAGGGTCACATTTGCATATCAGATCATCTAGAATCTGGATGCAGTCCTTGATCTTAGTCTCTGCAGAGGCTCCTATCCGGGCTTTCATGTAGAGCCCTTAGCACAAGTCTTAGTCACTGATTCTCTTCACAGCTCAAAGGAACTGCTTTGAATCAAGTTATTTGGAGTAATATTCTGACTGAGAAAAGAGGTTAGCAGGACTTACTTTGTAACAGGCACGGAGATGGTCTGAAGGAAGAGCCATTGGCTCAAATAATGCAGGTAAAGTCTCACGAACCAAAGCAAAACTACTAGCAGTGCGAGCAGCCAGAAGTCCCTGGAGCGCCAGTGTGTGGCTCCCAGCTCTGAAAAGACTGTGTATGCCACAAAATGGAAATGCTCCACAACCTGCCGGTACAGTTTCACTTCAGCAGCAGAATGGCAGCTAGAAATTTATGGAAACAACGCAAAGAGTCATTCGTAAAGACATTAAAGGAATACCAGTAGCTAAAACACTGTAGAGTCCTGTTATACAGGTAATTTGGTACAGATTCTAATCATAACTTTTGATTGAACAGTGCATCTGACAGTAAAAAAAAATAAAAAAGAATGTTTTTCCATGGCAAGCCTAGGTGAGAGGTGGCTTCCTCACAGAAATCATGCTGTCACTTTCATAAAGAAGACGACAAATCACATTTAAAATTAAGTTTTTAAAAGACTCTCGCTTTCATTTTGATTTTAATTTTCTCACAGATTGCTCTCTGAGGAACACTTTTTCCCTTATTTCTCTTCAGAGAGAATGGTAAAAGAACTTGTCATATTTGTACTGAAAAGTATTAATGTTATTGAAAACCCGTGAACAGCTTTTTGGCATTTGGTTAAGAACATTTGGTCAAATATCTCAGTACACATAGTGGGCTAAAACTCCTCTTTAGTTTCAAACGAAAGAGAAAATAAAAAGGAACTTGCACTGTAAAAGGATTCTTCTACTGAGTGTGGTGTGATTTGCCCTTTAAACTAATTACCACAGTGCTTCAAAGGGGGTGGAGGGAGGAAAAGAGATGCAGAGATGCAGCCTTGGCATTATATGTCCAAGAAACTGGAGTCTCTCAGCTGATTCAAAGCTGAAAAGACAGTAGCTCCTTTGACCTTTGAAAACTTCTAACTGCTATGCTTATTTCCACCAATTTAAACGACTAAGCAGCTGAGATGCACAACTCTAGGACTGAATATGATGTCATCATGCTCAGACTGTTATTTGTGTTGATTAAGGCTTCTGAAAGTTCAGAAATATAAAGATCTTTTTGTGGAAGAAAACATACTGGCTTTTTAAAGTGTAGCATATGACTGGAGAAGAAGCAACAGACATACTTGCGCTGTATTTTACACACTTTTGAAGCACTTTCATGTCTACATATATTTCTTAAATAGCTTTATACATTTCTTTCTTCAGCAGTCACAAAGAGAACTGTGAATAACAACAGAGAAACTTAAAAGGTTTCTGCATTTGTTCTAGGTTTGAATGAGAAGGAGAAATAAAAACACCACACTTGCCAGCCATAGGTCTGGATTTTGAGACCAGCCTTGGCATCATATTACTCCTGATCCTCAGTGTTGAGCAGGATGCATGCATTGGAGAGAGCATGCTGTCAGCCAGTTCTTTTTCTCATGAGAAGGCTCAGGCTTTAGTTACCTGCTTGGTTGAAGAAGAGGATGAGAAGTTGTCAGAAACACACCACAAAAAAAAACCCCAGGTTTTGGGTGACTAAAAGGCTTCAAGTACAAATCACTAAAACTTCTTGCAGAAATGTCTATTGGGTTGAGACAGCTAATCCTTGCAGTGACTGTAGTTTGATCTGTCGGGGGTTTTGAAGGTTTTTTGAGACATTGCAGTCCATTTTTCTCATATCCCAATCAGTCATAAAGTCCTACTTTAGAGACTCAGGACTACATCATGAATCACCTTCCTCATACTGTAATTATTTTCCCACAGCAGCCTACAGGAACATCACAACACATTTCATTAACATTATGAATTCATAGTCTAGGCTTGTTTGAGAAAGAGGCAAAGAAAAATGTAAAATAAGAAATATAATTGACTATGGTATTATACTACAATAACCATGGAATTCTGAATGTTCTGAACTCTGCAGCCAGATTGCCCTACACTTCCTTTCATATAAAGATATTTTTGTCATCTTTAATAGCTTCCATCAAAATTTACTGTTGAGGCATTCACTCCTTGAGAATAGTTAAGAAGGCAGGATTAGCCACACTGGTATTTTAGTTAGACCAAATAGTTTGTTGTTTGTGCAAAAAAAAAGAAAGAATAATACTATCTTAGCTCATAATACTCTACTCATCCTTCATCAAACAAGCAGAATTGCATAGATGTCCCACCCAGCCTCGCCCATTTCTGAAATCCACATCCTACAGGGATCATTGCCAATCTTCACCTCTGTGCTGAGAACACAAGTAATCATGTATTTTTCATAAAAATCTGGATTTAGATCAACACCTCATTTCATGCTGGAATCATTTACTACTAGATGATCTAGGCTCAATTTACTAAATGAAGCTGCCTCCGCATAAGCATCACCGGAGTGAAATGTTCAGTGTGACACCTATAAAAGGTTTCAAGAAATAAATCCTTCCTTCCAACCCAGCACAGAGATGGAGGAGCATACATAGCTCAAAGCACTGAAAATACCGAGTCCTCTTTCATTCACAGCAGTCCTGGAGCACCAGAAGTACTGAAAAACCTTAGTAACCAAAATATGGGGTTTGGAAGGTGAGTTTACTTCTTCCTCACTGAGGCAGGACCTGTTGATGCAATCAGCACTTTCACAAGAGCACACTTATTCCAGCTCTGTCTCTCATTGTGTGGAAGTTGCTTGTGCAAGCACTGTGAGCACACTATACAAAGTGTCGTCATAGAACTTCCCTAAGGTTTAGGCAGCAATGAAAATATTCAACCTGTGCTTTCATCACTTCATTGCTTCCCAGATTACTTCCACTTTCAGGAGGTTAAAAGAGAGCTAATGTTTCCCCCTGTGAGCTATGTCGTCCCTGCTGAGATGCTGGCTCTCTCAGCCACGAGAATACACTTACTCAATAAACTTCTAAATGAAAGTAGAGAAATTCAAAATATGTTCACTTATCAAACCCAAAAGCCTTCCATGCAATGACCCTGCTTAAACCAGTGGAGCAACATCTGTGACGCCTCAGCTGCATCTTTCCTCTGAAAAAACAATAGCAGCCCAGAAACTCAACAGAAAGCCAAGCTTGATGGAAGTAAAAGATATCAAGAAAAATATGTCCATTGGTAGAATCAAACATTAGTTTTTATTTTTAGAACAGTTTCCTGCTTAGAAATTATTTTAGAATAGTTTCCTGCTTTCAAATGGAAATCAAAATCCTCTTTACTGTTTAATTTGTCAGAAGTCCAGATTCTGAGTGTCACTTCTGTGATTGTGTAACACTTTGACATGAGCACCACCAGCCAGTGGTAAAAATTGGTGGAAAATATAGCATATGGTACATGGGAAGGACTCAGGGAAGGTCCCAACCTATAAGTGGAATATCTTCATTTACTTTAACACAAATTCTGTTGACTCCAACTCACTTGTAAGCTTCAGCAAACTATTTCTGTGTACTCATTAATCATGTTATAGGGCTGTTTACTGGCTGCCACTTCAAAACACTGGGCTTAAGTGGTCTCTCTCACTGACTGTTTTGAAAAATGAAGAAAGAAAGAGGCAGAAACACGAAATGAAATGCACCAAACAAGTGGAAACAGCCCCTTTAAATACTCTTAGCTGGTGTTAGTAGTGAAAGCTTGAGAGTGGAGTGATGGTGCTGGCAGATACAGTTTTCAGAAGAGATATAAAGGTGCTGTAGGATAGAAAGCATCAATATTACCTTTCTAAAACCAAACAACCCTTTCATCCATAAAAAAACCCAACCCAAACCAAACCAAAAAAAAAAAAACAAACCACCACCAAAACCAAAAAACCCCAACAAATCTCAACCCTTGGGTGAAAGCTGTATAAAATTCCGAATGAGAAGTCACTTGAGTATTGGATTTATCCATGATTCCTTGGATTACTGGTAAGTAATTTGGCTGAATGTTTCTGTTCTAGGGCATTAGTTTTGCATTTTTCTTTGAGAAATGCTGCAATAACAAATAGCAGAGACCAAATTACCATAAAAGCATGTCAATTATTTGAATGGAAGTTGTTCAGAAGGAAAGAAACGATGCACAGATTCTCCTAAGCTGCAGTTGATGATGATGATGACAGAAAAGTAATGGCTGATAGAAGGTAGTACTGTTGGGTGACACTTTGCTGCTGACAAACCATGGTGAACATTTGTATAATGCACTGCAAGACTGGCATGTAGAACTGATGGGGGGGAAGTAGATCATCAGCCTAAGTAACCCTGCTTCCTCTCAAAGTACATTGGTGTCTACCAGGTGAGGTATTCAGGATCTAGTCCTGAACGTATCTATTATTTACATTTCATAAAATATGGCAAAATAAATGTTTCTTTGTCACCCATAGAGACAGAGAAGAATTAAAGAGCAAATGCGGACACAAATTACTACCTTATGCAAATTAATTTCAGGGAATCGCATGCAGTCTTTACAGCCCAAGAGTCTGTGCAACGTATTTACTCAGTTCACAAATAAAAAAAACCCCTCCCCACCATCGCCCTAAATGATGGGTATTTAAACTTAGTGGTAAGTTCTTTATGGCTTATCAACAGAAATAAAGATGCAGGAAATATTGCCCAGTGTTACTGCAGTGAAATGCTATCACTTTCAGTGGAAAATCACACCTCTATCTGAAAGCACATCTAAAATTAATATATGTAGCCCTTCAAATGGAAACCAGTTAGAAGCACCACTGATGAAGCATAAGGCAGAAGAGAATATGGTTCATTCCATTGTGTACAACATAAACATATACATAAAACATAAAATTTTATTATCATTAGAGGGATTTTATTATTATTCCTTCTGCATAATATTTTTCCTTTTCAAAGTTTGTATTATGTTACCAGGAAATTGCCATTATTCCAGGCTGTATGGTGATGATACAAATGACTTGCCCAATAAGCCAACGGCAGAGCTGTGAACCGAACTCTGCGGAGTTACAGTCCATTATTCTATCCACTGGATTCCTAATAAAATATTACATTTTTGTTTATTTGTATGCAAAGTGAATATAAGCAGGGAGAACATTTACCAACAATATAGACACTGTTTTTTCTCATCTCTTTCCAGGACACACCTATGCTTCATATTCTTCAGTTTGCAAGCACCGAGAAAGCTGGTATCACAAAGAGTTACAAAGGTTATCTAGAGGATTTCTTCTGCAAGAGAGGTGACAAAAGACCTGAGGGAACATTAAGTGGTTCCTTAACATAGAAATGCTCATAGGA